CTGAAAAATCAAGAAACAAATTTTTATAGCATGTTTTTTATTATATATCAAGGGCTAAAATTTATTTGATATAAAATTTTGAAACATTTATTTTGCAACATAAAACATGAGGTTAAAAGCATATGTTGAATCGTCCTAGTTGATCTGCAGATATGGATCAACGGTAGAGTTTTTAGTGCCGCTATCCAAATTTTAATTTAACTGGGATATAAAATTATCCATAATTTGGATACCAATAGCTTAAAAACTCAATCTAGTATCCTGAGAAGCTTCCAACTGTCTCGTTAACATCGTACTTAATACGTAGTCAAGCAATCACATAGGCTCTAGGGTCTTAGGCTGCTGACTCGGATCCACGCCTACTGTTACTTATTTATATGGTGCTTTGGTTTGGATTTTGTTAATGATGAGGCGACTCTCATTATTAACAAAAATTTATTCAAATGAAAATTTCAGTTAAGTAAAAGGAAGATTATGAGTGGTTGCCGTTAATTTGGCATTATTAGCGTTAAATTTTTTATCTAGGATATAAACATTGGCCTAGGCGTTTGGATTTTTTTATTAATTAAATAAAATGTTGGTCTTTATTTAATACTACAAAGTATTCCCCTTAGCCTAAGAAAGTGATTAAGGGCGTTACCATTTAAATGTCTTAGTCCTACTGAGAGTGATCCAGGCAGTTGGTAAGTTTCGATATTACTCCCACGATTCTAGTTTATATAATCAAATTTATATCATTTGGTAATTATAAAGCTAGGTGATTATTGAAAAAAAAAGCGAGGTGATTTAACTGCTGAAAGCTACAAATAAGAAAAACTTTAGCCTCAAAGTGGGTCATAGTTTTTTCATAGTTAAAGAAGTTTGATGGATGAGTAGCTTGGTGGTGTAGTTTTATTTTCTAGCAAATATTGGTATGCCTGCAGTAATTAAAGGTAAAATATCTAACATATCTGCACAGAGGTGCATCGTGCGTCTAAAGTAGCTTAAAAGTTCATTTCAAACTTTTGTATTGACTAACTTGTATTTACAAACTTCTACGTAACTTTAATTTCATTAATGAATAAGGAACTCTAGTGAATACAATTTTCGTTGTACATGTAGATGACACAACCGCCCTCCAATGTATATTCAAACAAAGAGGCCTTCATTTGTTTATTGTAATACCAAATTAGGATATTCACCAAAAATCGTTAAATACCAAAGTAGCATAATAGGCATACTAAGGTAAGCATTCATGTCCTGTTTGCTGAAAGTATTTACCATCATAATACAAAGTATTTAAGAATCTAAAATGAATGGTTCAAATATAAGCTAAAATGTTGAGGTCACCTCTAAAATTCCATATCACCTATTGAAGCATCGGTGCCAAACCAAACAAAGATGGTATATGAACATTAGACGGCATCACATTTTGTGTTGGTTTACGCAGAAATCTGGTCTTTTACTTAAAACTAAAGGAAAAAATATAATAGATTCTCATGTGATATCTCAATCCAATAGAGAAATAACAATCGTCTGACATTCATAATAAGTAAGTACTAATAAAATAGTTTAGAGAATATAAATAATTACATCCCATAACATAGTAAGTGCTTCTGCAAAATTTACTGTGAAGATAGACAATTTAGTACTATCTCTACTAAATAAAGAGGAGTATGTACCATCCCAGTACCTAAACAAGGAACTGCATGATTACGTACAAAGAGAACTTCATATTCAAAATAAAAATAAAGGAACACTTCTCATTATAAGCGAATAATCTCACGTGGAATATGTGACCTGATTCCAACTATGGCCAAATTTTGTTCTTGCCCCGCACCTTACATCCTCATTTTGCTTAACAGTACACAAATAGGTGCTTATTAATAATTAAAATGATAGTTAAAGAGTGAAAAGTTAAAACAACATTAATTAATGCCTTAAATTAGCAACCCACTTCTTAATTAAATCTGACTAGGATCCCTGCTTTTCGCCCAATCTCTAAAGACCACTAGACATATGGGGGTCCATTCGGACTCAAGGCCCGGGCCCTGCCTAGTGTTCGACCCAGACCCAGTCAAGCACGGGACACGCTCCGAAAACCCGGGCCGATTGGGTTCACCCTAAAATTTGTGTGTTTGGGTTTAAGAACGTGTAGATCAAGTTCAACGGAGCGGTTCGTAAAAAAAATTTAGAAAATGATGTGATTTTAGGCCGCGTCCTTAGGTGGGAGCCTAGGGTGTCACCTTAGATTCACTTTTCCCATATATATTATATATTATATATATATATATATAATTATTATATATATATATATATGAGAAATAGGTTATGCTTGGTACCAAGCACAATTTTGTGCTTTGATAATGATGTGTCACATCCTATCACTCACTACCATGTGAATTTATATTCCACATTTGAATTAGTGGAAAGGCGGGAGGGGAAATTTTTTTTGGACACCTCACTACGACAGGCATAACTTTTTGTGCTTGGTACCAGCATTACCCATATTTCTCTCTCTCTCTTCTCCTCTCTCTCTCTCTTGATAATATATAATATATTTATATAATATATACACATAATATTATACATTACAACATATCACTATATATACACATTACATATATATATATACATATAATTATATATACATATATATATATATTATACATATATATATAATATAATATGATATATATTTATTATATATATATATATTTATATATGTATATATATTATATATATTATATATATATATATATATGTATGTATGTATGTATTATTATTAATATATGTATGTATTGTTGTATGGTATGTTAGGTGTGTGTGTGTGTGTATGTTATGTATATATGTACTGTATGCATGTATGTATGTATATATATATACTATATTATATATATATATATATATATATATAATATATATATATGTGGTGGTGGTGGGTGTGGTGTGTGGCCCTGCCCCGCACCTAGACATTAGGTGTGTGTTGTGTGTGTGTATATCTATTATATATATATATATATTATATATTAAAAATATATATTATATATATATATAGGGAAAATTGTGTCCAGGCCCCAAAATCGTGTCCTTGAAGTGGCCCAGCCCCACCAATTATTCCCCTTGGGCTGCCGCCTCAAAAATGCATTATTCGTGTGGTCCAGCCCCTTTAGCCCTCTTTTATACGTATGCTCCGCGTATTTAGGCAAAAAGACCCGAAATGCCCTCGTCTCTCACTGGGAACCGGCTACAGGCAGCCATCAATGATCGTCGATCTCTCCCATCGCAGTTAAGGCGAAGAGACGGCGGAAAGCGGGGGAAAAAAAGGCGGGTTCCCTCCATTACTGGTCCGCTTCAGCTCCTTATTAATGGGATATAAATTCGGGTAATTTTTTCTCTTATTCTCCCATTTATGAAATCAGGGTTTTTTCCCCTTTATCTGTCAACAACCGTTCTGAGCTTTAAATCCCCTCCATTACTCCTCATAATTGTCTTCATAACTCTCAACCACTCCCAATGGCCGCCGATGACTTGATTTGTATGGTGTCTTTAGGCGAGAAGGCCATACTTATGAAGCTCTGCTCGACAACACGGTTTTATGAACTGAAATTTGATGTGGCTGAAAGAATGAAAATACCTGAAGAAGCTTTATCCTTGGTATATAAATCTGAGAGGCACCCCAACTTGACTTTTTCGGTTGACAATGAAGATGACTTGAAGTGCATGTTGGAGTACAATCGAAATGTAGGTTGTACAGAGATTCACATGCTCGCTGTTGTTAATAGTGCTGTTAATAAAGAGTGTTCTAGTTCTGAAATAAACCAGAAAGTTATTAGTGGAATGTAAGTAATTAATGATTCTTTATAACATTTAGCTTTGTGTGACGTGAACATACTGATTTTAGGCTTTAAGGCAAAGCCGCATAATATTTTAAGTTTTTTTTAACTTCATCTTTTGGAATCCCGTTATGCGCTTTGAATCCCTTCAAGTTAACAAATTAATTATCATCATAATTGTCAACAACCCCCAACGGTTTCCAATTGCTTGACGTGCACGGTGTCGTGTGACGTTATTGCTATATTCTTTCTATCATGAAGTGCATGTTTGATGACAATATTTTCACTTGTTGTACGGAGATTCAGATGCAAGTTTTTGATAACATAGAGTGACCTACTTCTTAAAGGAAGTACAAAGTTATTACTGATTTATATGTAAACAATGAACTTTGGCTCAAATTGGGATTGTGTGATGTAAAAATTGTGATTTCAGGTTTCGATGCGCAGTAGAAAAACATAGTTGTCATCTTCGAAATTTATACGTTAACTCTTCATCTTTCATGTTATGTTTTGACGATATATGTTAATCTTCAATTGAACATGTTAACTTTCATGTGAGCATGTTAACTTTCAGCGTAACGAGTTAACTATGTAAATTGTCTGTTAAATTCCACTGCTCTTTAATTAATTTATACGAAAATGGTTTGTTTTTAACATTATAAGATAGTTTTATACTCTAGTGTAAAGTTTATATCACTGGCTGATTAATTTTTGCAGCAGTGATGCCTCTTTGAATGAAGAATATTGTCATCCCCCTTCTGGCGGAAATGCTTCCAATTCAGAGAGAATCCCAAATGATTGACCATCTGGTGAGATTGTAATGAGAGCTGATGATATTATCAGTAAAACTTACAGCATTCCAGACTGTTGGCACACAGCATTAACTAAAAAGGGCCAACAATTTGAAACTGTTAATGATTTAAGACTAGCGTTGCAATACTATTCCATGGCGAAAAAGTTTGACTACGACTTTGTAAAGAATGAACCTAAACGTATCCGAGTTATTTGTCGATATAAGGAGATGTATGTATGCCCTTGGATGTTGTTTGCATCCCCTGTAAAAAATAAAAAAAGAATTGAAATCAAAAGGTTTGTGAATAAACATAGTTGCGGACAACATACTAACTTGTCAGGGCAATCACGGGCATCTCGTAGATTCGTAGCAGAGCAATTGCGACCTGTCTTAAAAGTTCGACCTGAAATCCGCCCAAAGGATGTGCAAAAGGAGTTCCTCACTCGATATGGATTGAGACTTGAATACAGTAAGATATGGTGGGGCAAAGAAAGAGCGCAGGAGGCTATGTACGGTGATAGTTATGAGTCTTACGATCAATTAAGATGGTAAATTTTATAGTTATCTGTTTAAATGTATAAATTTATCGTGCAATATATTTCCTTAGATGTTTCCATATTTATTTTCATAAATTTATATTTCAGCTACTGTTATGTTTTATGGAAAATTGTCAGCTCTTACACGTCAATATACATTACCCTTATGTTCCAATGTATTACATTTACGTGTAATGTGGTCACACTGTTGTACAGGTATGAGCAAAAGGTGAAGGAAACAAATCCAGGAAGCTACATTTGCATTGACCAGAATGAAGGAAGGTTCAAAAGACTGTTTATATGTTATATACTGTACGAAAGGCCAGACTCATATAATCCTCCCCATCAACTGGTTATTATTTCTGATGCCGACAAGGGAATCCAAGAAGCGGTGAGAGAATATTTTACTGAAGCAATTCACTCAAGATGTGTTCTGCACCTGGTTGAAAATTTTAGATCTAAGCGAAAGGATTTGGGATTGAAGGCAAAGGACACACATGTTTTGGAGAATTTGCTCCAATCAGCTTGCTATAAATACACTGTTGTGGAATGGAACGACTACATGAAGGATATATATGAGATGTCTCCAGCTGCATATGAGATTGTAATTAACTACTCGCCAGAGCATTGGGCGAATGCCTTCTTCCCTGGCATTAGGTACTTCCCTCAATCATTTCTAGTGAATATCCCCTTTTGCAGGTTAACTATCGGTGATATATGTTATCGTTTATCACTATATATTAACTTTCATGTTATTATGTTAACTTTTCCTACTAAAGGGAAAGTTTGGTGGTTACGTGCTAATCTTATTACATATTGGATGTTGAATGGGACTTTGTTTTATTTTGATGTTTGCAGATATGGTCATGTAACCTCTAACGTTGCAGAATCCTTTAACAGCTGGATACGTGAAGCTCGAATGCTGCGTATCCTGCAAATGGTGGAGCATATCTGCAAGCAAATTATGACTCGCATGAACAACAGACGCATAATGGCTGAAAAGTGGACAAGCTATCTTTGTCCTAAAGCTGAGCAGATTGTTAGAGAACATATGGAAAGAGGATCTACGTTAGAGATTAAGCAATCTAGAGATGATATATTCGAAGTGCAATCATAGAGAACCACTCACGTTGACTTGGGGAAGAGGACATGCAGTTGCCGTGCTTGGGACGTAACTCGTATTCCTTGTGTGCATGCTTGTGCAGTCATCGTTTATATGAAAAGAGAGGTATATCAGTATTGTGACCGGTTCATGTCCGTAGAGGCGTTTAAGAAGAGCTACGATAAAATATTATATCCCATACCAGATTATGAGATGCGTAGTGTGCCCAAGGATGAAATCCAGATTTTGCCACCAATTACCACAAAGAGGAGGGGAAGAAATAGAACAAGACGCATAAACAACAGAACCATCATGAAACGTCCTGTCAAATGTGGTCGATGCAAGAGGGAAGGGCACAACCGAGCAACTTGTAACGAGCCCATCCACGATTAGTGTGCCATGCTTATGAAGAGGAGGAATGGCGCTAGAGAAATATAAGTTGCATTTAAGTTTCCATTATACTAATGGTAGATTTTTGTGCTCTGCTGCCAGACAGCAGGAGGTTTTGAATTTTGTACTTAAACATGTTAACATATAACTATCTCTATACTACTACTACTTTTAGATGAATTTGTTATCATAAAGGCCCACTGTTTGAGGTTAAATTGTTGTCAGGTCTCAAATCTACGTGACTGTTCAACGGCTAGTTGGAAAACTGTTCCAACAGACATATTCCAACGGCTAGGTACTTGTTCCATTTACTTTATATAATGTTATGCAAGGCTCAAGTAAAACCATATCTCTTGTCCCCTCCTTCCCTTTATAGCTCATTTAGAGACTAAGATGAAGACCGAGGATGCCTCTCAGTCAGTAGAAGAGCCATGTTGTTTCTGAAAGCTTCCAACCCCCCTCAAGCAGTGCAAAATTGGGAGCAACAAAGGTAGATACTTCTGGGGATGTGTAAAGTTCCCAAATAGGCAATGCAAGTTTTTTGCTTGGGCTGACAATGTCAATGCAATGAAGGAGAACGTAGCTGTTCACCAAGAAGCACCCGCTGAAGATGAGATAGCAGCCAAGGTAAAATATTTGAAGAAAGCATTGAAGCAGTCTAAGCGTGAAGTTGAAAAATGGAAAACCTGTTCGTGCTTTCTATGTTGTTTTTGTGTTGTTCTAATTTTCTTAAACATTGTGATATGCAAGCTGAAAATGAACTGATATATGTGCAGTTCATAGCGGAACACTGCATCGTCTAAAAATCGTTCTTCGTTTTATTAGTTTATTGGCTATCGATTTGTAAAATTTTCCCTGAATTGGTTAGCTTTCATAGTTGTTTGATCTAATCCAAAGTGGGTAGCTGAGCGGTTGACATCTTTAATTTTGCACAATTTGGTTTAGAGCGACAGGTTTAACTTTCAGTGTAACTGGTTAACTATATCTAGCGCTGGTTAACTTCCAGCGAAGCTGGTTAACGTTTACTGAATCTGGTTAACTTTTTCTAAAATTGGTTAACTTTCGCCTATACTGGTTAACTTTTGTTGTAACTGGTTAACTTTTGCTGAAAGTGATTAACTTCCAGCGAAGCTGGTTAACGTTTACTGAATCTGGTTAACTTTTTCTGAAATTGGTTAACTTTCGCCTACAGTGGTTAACTTTTGTTGTAACTGGTTAACTTTTGTTAACTTTTTCTGAAATTGGTTAACTTTCGCCTACAGTGGTTAACTTTTGTTGTAACTGGTTAACTTTTACTGAAAGTGGTTAACTTTTGTCCAATCTAGTTAACATCCTCCGTAAACTGACTAGCTTACAGAAAAATTAAAGAGTGCAGGTCAAGCAGGTAGTATCAGACATATCCATAACAATACATTTCAATTACATCATAATGTTAGAATCGTCTTTCACCCACCATATGCTTCAATCTCCGCTTGATGTCTCTGTTCCCATCCTTCCTCAAGAAGTTTGGTTGTAAGCCTGGCATGCAAGACGTCCGAATTGTCTCCGGGATTACTTACCTGAATCGCATCAATCCCATTGATTATAGCCTTCATGTATAAGAAAATGAAAAGCCCACAATCAAAACTGCAACGCGGAGATGCAATAACAGTTCTGTTAGATATGTGTTGTGGGATGCAATAGAATTAAATTCAAGTTTGTAAATTACTAACATTCCAGATTGTTGCTCGCAAGGGACGCCCTCATATCTAAACTTCCTCCAAATATTGTCTGGATCAAAACCAGCCTTCATATGGTCCATGAAGCTAATTACTTTATTCACCGGTTCAATATATGCATCGTGGGTAGCTGAGCTGTAATGCTTGACAACGTCCTCATCCAACCTGACTTCAGCAAGATGCCAATGGTCCTGACGCACAAGCGAGATAAGGAGTACACTCTTCCTCGCAGCAATATGCTTTTGTATAAATAAAGTATATATGTGTGGGAAATCATGAGTGTTTGCATAAAGGTTGTGCTGTATAATCCAAGTATAATGGAATGTTATGACGGGAGTAAACACGTGTTAAAGAATCATAGTATCGTAAAGTAGATAGCTTACGCAGAAGAAGACTGATACAATCCCATACTTATGGCTCAGGGGAACCATTTCTGGCCTATCCAGTCATAAGCTTATTCTATCGATCAAAGCTTCCATCACCTGGAAATGGAACATACATAAGACACACATTAGATTGCATAACAACCCTGTCAAATTGTGAGGAAAAATTGCATAAGTGAGGCAATTAAACTTGCATGGTCGTCAATACGTCCCCCTCGTAGTAGGTTGAGAAGCTCCATAGAATCAATACTACTGTTTGACATTTTTAAAACAATACTTGACCTGATATATGACAGAAAGATACAAAGATTAACATAAATGGTAAAACGTTAGCCTGATTCTGGAAAATTTAACATATAACGATGAACAATTACATGTTATAGCATAAGTTAACATCAATGAGCATAAGTTAACATGTTTCTTTTAACATGAACATGCATATAGAAACCAGAGTTCGCATGGATTAAACTTATTGATGAGCTTTCTGATTGCAAAACTCTGAGACCCATCTGTTCTCCTCTAGAGTGAGCTTTGCCGCTACATGATGGGGTATTCTAAAGTTGTGAACAAAGGTTCCTGCGCTATCAATCAGGCATATGCTAAAATCATCAACAAAAGGAATCCCCTCGTTCAGCAACTTCAATAGAGCCTCCTCCTTCTTCTTGATTTTTTTGGTTTTTTGAAAATCCCACGTGCATTCACTAGGCTGCAGTAGTACCTGATTTTTTCCCTATCATCCTCCTTGTGATGTGAAATTGTAATTAATTCTGGTTGGGCTATCTTCTTCTTTTCCTCAGTGAAAGGGGTTCGGATTAGCTGAGAACGAGTCCTGATTCTGGTACTTGGTCCCCTTGTTCCCTTCGAAACAACTTTCTTCGACCTCTTTCGATAACCTTGTAATGAGTCCTTCTCCCCCATACCCATCTCCGACACTTTCTCCGCACTGCCCTTCTCTTCTTCCTTCTCTTCTTCAAACATCTGCGCTAGCTCTTCCTCTTTCTCATGTACTTTCATCTCCTGCTCTCTAACTTCCACTTCAAAGTACTCCTCTCTAACTTCCACTTTCTCAGATGCCGCTGATTCTACAAGTTTATTCTCCTGCTCTCTATCTTCCTATTCAAACAGTACTTGCTCTCTATCCTCCTCTCTATTCTCTTACTCTCTATCTCCCTCACTCAGTGCTTGCTCTCTATCTTCCTCTTTCTCGGCCTCTTTATCTTCCTCTTTCTCCTCATGCTCTCTGTCTTCCAGCTTGCTCTCTATCTTCCTCTTTCTCGGCCTCTTTATCTTCCTCTTTCTCCTCATGCTCTCTGTCTTCCATCTCTTCCTCTTTATATTCCCCTCCAGTCTGTCTTCCATCTCTTCCTCTTTATATTCCCCTCCAGTCTCTTCATCCTCGTCTTGGCCAACACTGTCTACCTCCTGCTTAGCTTGTGCTACACCCTTCGCAATATGCGAGGCTTCCTTACCAATAATGCACACATCGTCACAATCGAAACAATCGACATCGTCACCCTTGCCAATGCTATCAACACTTCTTTTCCTCTTCACATGTGCAGCCCTTGTATGCATGTCACTCTTAGACATAATCTCCTCCACACTTTTCTTCAGGTCTTGGGGATCAATCAGGTCAGCAGTTCCTTCGTAAAACTCTAATTTTCGATTCAGCCTATGTATCTCCTTAGAACAAGCATCCCATTGAAGGCACTTACTACGCTTTGTGGCATGGAGCAATTTCCAGTTTAATTTGGTCGTATTCCTCCAGAACTGAATTTGCTGATCAAGGCTCAACTTCTCTATTTCATCTTCTTTGTCAAGCGCGTTCTTGATATGCTGGGAGACAATCTGGAAAAATAACCAGTAAGTTACAAAATTCAACCATCATAAATATGCTAGCAAATCAGTAAAAGATGATTGACGCTTACGTATCCTACGGATGAGCTATTTTGTCTGCCCTTCACCCTCGCTTGCTTCTCATCCTTTACGTTTTCTTTCTTCTCCTTCACTCTCGGCAATGAAACCACCATAGCTTTACTCTTATCTGATACAGCAGGGATCCTTTTCTTCCCAAGGCGAGCGCTACTAATATTCTTCCAAGAGGGCTCCCTTTGAGGGTATTCCCCCCCCCCCTGGAAAATTGGTTGAATCAGGTTTATCCTTAATCTTAATGGTTGCTTTTTCTGCCTTGGATACAATTGTCTCCCTCCTCATCGATCCAGCCGTCCCTCCGACCCTTACCCAGTTGGTCAACGGCGGCTTCCATCTGATGTTTAGGGTAGGTTTTCTAATGCCTGTCATCTCGTAGAACCATAGCTGCCAAAATAGAGGCAAAAATTATTTATCATTAATTCCCTGCACATCAAAACTCCTTATGCAACTTCATTTCTTCGTAGATAACTTTCACTATAAAAAGTTAACTTTTATCAGTACTGGTTATATTTCACTTAAACATGTTAACTTTGAGGTCTCCATGTTAACTTTTAATTTAACATGTTAATTTTCACCAACACTGGTTAACATTCAAAATTGCATAAGTTACATTATCTAATATCGGTAGCCAAAACTCTTTAAATATAAAACAAATGTTAAACTACATATGAACATGCAACTTACAGGGATGAGCGGCATGCATCCAGGGATGTACGTAACCCCTGGCTTCCTCAACCCTTCAACGGCAATGTGAATGCCTCTCTTCGTCTCATCAAAAATAAATTTACCCCACACAATGTTCTTCACTCTCTCAATGCTATCTACATATTGAAACAACAATCTTGGAATGCCTTGCGAGCTGTTCGGACACCAAATCATTGAACACTGGTACAATATTTGAAGAAGAACAAAATCCTCAACGTCCTTATCTAGCTCTGGCCTTTGCCTTCTCCTTGTCCTTCAACATTTCTTTCTTATCTTCAAAGTACTCCCTCCAAAGCCGGTTGTGAGGGTCTCTATTCCCATAGATCAACTCCCCATCAATAGGAAAGCCCGTGTGAGTTTGCACCCACTCTTCATCAAATTTGACTAAAATTAGAGACCCTATTTGGGGATCGGGAAAAGAGAATTCATCAGTTTTGGCATCATAGTGACTGAGCACATGCTCCAGTGCACGTCAATCTCGTGCAGGAGGTCCGAAGAACACATAGTGTTCAAAGTTAGTGCCCTTTAAGGCATCCCAATGCCAATTCTTCATTTTTGCATGAAGTTTATGCATGAATATACAATACGATCCAAAACTTGCACTAGACCTGATATCACCTACAGCATCACGTTTACTGCATAAACAACAAGACGTTGATTTGGATTACGAGACAGTTAACAATACAGCCATTAACTTATTAAAAGTTAATATTTATTAACATGAATAGCTAATAGTTGACACCTAAGGGAAAACGTCGACACCAAACGAGAATTATTGACATGCAGAGCCACTAACCAACAACTACGTGAATTATTGGCATGCATTTCTTCCGAACACTTATATTTCCTATTGCATAGATCATACTCCAAAAGTAAGGATCTACATAACACTAACCAGTTTCTGACCAAAATTTTCGCATAAACAGAACTCATAAACCTCATTTAAATTCAAATCACACAATTAAATTAATTAAATTCAAAGTGGGGAAATTGATTGGAAACTTACTTCTTCTTTGAAGTGAACTCTTCTTTCGGCGAGCGTCTCCTCTTCCTCTCTCGCTTTTCCAGCCCCCTTTTCATGCTCAATAAGGTTTCCTTCACCTCATTACTCTCCTCGTCGGAGGAGGATGTCGGAGGAGAACCACCGGCCGAAGGTATGACGGCGTCGGCGGAGGCTGAGGTGACCAATTTTGGAGTTTCCTCCTTCGTCAATCGCGCCGACCGCCGCCGGTGGCGACGCCCTGCCGTTTGGGTGTCGATTCCTTCCCCCTTCTCTTCCTCAGGCTTCTGGCCCGTTTTTCTTAACTTTTTTTTGGCCATTTTCCTTTATTGTTTTCCTGGGAGATTGAGGGAATTTGGGTTTTAAAAATGGGTTCTCGAGATGAGAAGAGGTTTGGTTTGAGGAGAGCGAAGAAGAAGAGAGAGAAGCCAGGCTGATTTTGGGGGGAAACTGCAAGGGGCAGTTTTGGGATTTCGGTTTTTTCCGCTCTCAGTTTGGTCTGGGAAACGTAAAAGGGGCTGAAACACAAGAGTGTTGGGTATTGGGGACTTTGGCATGAAAAAAAATAAGGAGGGCCTCCACACATCCCCTTTATAATTTTGGGGCCTAGACACAATTTTCCCTTTTAATTATCACATTTATTTATAATATTTAGTTTTTTAAAGCTTTTTTGTATTTTTTTTTCTATTGTGTACGTGTTGGTATATATATAAAGAGAAATTCTTATGTTAGCTTAAGTGGACCATCCACCTACTTTCTTACATATTGATATTATCTAAGGATTAGCAAAACAAATTTAACCGCCCATCGTTTCCTCAAATAAGTAGTTAACACAGCATACCACACCACATAAGTTGGACAAAGTGGCAAACAACCTCCACATGCCCAATCCTGAGTGCATTGACTAAATTTGTGACTTTTATATTAACCATTCTAGACTAATTTAAGCCCATCCTTTGTTTAAGAAAATGCCAACTACATCCTCTTCAACCCACAAAGTGCTGTACGCTATCCCATATAGTTGTGAGTATTCTCTTGGAAAATGTATATATATATACTACTTATAAACTAAAGGAGAACAATCAAAAAGTTAAAATGAACAGTAAACCAAGTTTTTTTATTCACATTTTTTATACTCCCACGTTTCTTCCGCCTTATTTTCCCTAAACTTCCGCCGGTCTCCTCCCATTATAACTTCAACCTCCTAAAAATACTCCCGAGTCTGCAAGAGAGAGAAAACTACCCCACCCGAAAACCACCCCACCGGCGCACCCCTATCTCATACCGCTCCACGTTCTCTCTCTCTCTCTCACACACACACACACATTCCCTGTTTTCACAGAGAGCATACCTTAAACTTGATCTCGCCATTGCCGAAATTTTCCAGTAGAATGAAAGAAATTTCACTTGAACCTTAATCATTGATGAGAAAGAGAGAAAGAGAGGGGCATAAGACATGGTTTCCAAGAATCTGAGAGACAATGAGTATCTTCTCTACGTTGCCATTTGCATGGTGGGTTTGCCCGTCGAGGTTCAGGTCAAGGATGGATCTTTATACTCTGGGATCCTTCACACTGACTCCTTTGATAAGAATCGTGGTAAATTTAATTAGATTCTTATCATTTGAGTGGAGATCTCAACCGGGATTGGCTTCTGTTTCTCGGATCCTACTTTTTCAGAAATGGGTTTTGGTTATTGGATCCAAATCTCAAATGGGTTTTTGTCATTTGGGAAATTTCATTATTTTGATTGCTGTGTTAAATGTGATTTTACTGATTGCAGTATGAATTAAATGCATTGTGTGTTCTTCTTTTTTTAATGATTCTCTTGCATTGAATTGGTTATTTATTTCACTAACATTGAGGCCAACTTTTTATTTGCAACAGTATGTATTCATTTGCATCATTTTATTTGTTAGCTCCATCACCTAACTTGGGCATCCAATTTTATGTGGTCATATGATAACCCATTTTTATCTGACACGGTAGGAACTGTAACTTTTCTCTAGGAGAAGTAATTAGTTTTTTTGGTATGCATGATATAAATCTTTTATTTTACTCAGGCTTCAGCAAAGAAAGCGATAGATTTCTTGCCATTTCTACAAAAAATTAGAAGGCTTCCCGCTATGGTTGAATATGTCCTTAGTGGACATCGTTTTAAATTTCTTATTCCCAAGGAAACTTGCAGCATTGCTTTCGCATTCTCTGGTGTCAGGTGCCCAGGTCGAGATGAGCCCTTTTCAGATGAAGCTATTGCATTAATGAGAAGGAAGATAATGCAGCGGGAAGTAGAGGTGCTAATGCTGCATATGTTAGTTTGTTTTAACTTAATCTCTGTACTAAATAAAAACTTTCTAAATTCTATTGCACAGATTGAAGTTGAAACAGTTGATAGAGCTGGCACTTTCCTGGGTTCTCTATGGGAGTCTAAGACAAATATGGTCGTGTCTCTTCTCCAAGCTGGATTGGCAAAGCTTCAAAATTCCTTCGCTTCAGTCAGGATTCCAGATGCCCACCTTCTTGCACGGGCTAAACAATCGGCAATACAACAGAGACTGAAGGTAATCTATCAGTAAATATTCTCCAAATCTTCATTTATCCTGCTTTGTTTTCTGCTAATATACAGTCTTTTCCGCTTGGAGGTGTGGGAGAACTATGTTGAAGGACAGGAAGTTGCTAATGGATCTTCCACCAATTCAAAACAGAAGGATGTGCTCGAGAGTTTAAATGGTTTATTTCATTGTTCACGGGTAATTGATACTTATGGTTTAAACAGTTTGATTAGATTGTGGAATTGCATTTAGGTCTACAATCAAGTTGTGAAAATCTTTTAGAAACCGTGTTTTGTACGGGTCTAAATATCTAGACGAATAATAACCAAACTGTTTATTAATTATTCGGTTCACTTCCACCGCTATACTTTATATCTAAAGCAGAATACTTTATTTTAATAACATGTTAAATATTTGCAGAAAATCTTTTAGGATCCGTGCTTTGCACGGGTTTAAATACTAGTAGACTTCAAAATTCAAAAATCCCCCACTCGAGATCCCCTCTGTAAACCCATAAGTTTCTCCCCTAAATAACTTCCCCAGAAGTTTCTCCGTCTCCTCCCCTTTTCTTTTCCATCAAACAAACCATAAACCTTCTTTTCCCTCTCCCTCAATGGAAGTTCAAACCCAACTAGCGAGGCGACGAAGATGCCACCTCCGACTCTGACTTCATCCTCGAAATCGTCAGAGGCGACGATGACGACAACGATGGCTTCGACCCCAACAACATCTACGATGCTGACAAAAGCATGGTAGATTTCTGTGATAGTTTTCTTCGAATCAAAAGGTAATTTCTCGCAGAATCTAGGTTTATTCAACCAATCTTTGTCAAGGTGTTAAATGTTTTCAGAAAGTCATTTTATGATGCTTGAGGTATGTTCTCTGAATTCAGTTTGTTTTTTGGGTAATTTTGAGGAATGTCCTCTGAATTCGATCTATCAATTCGATCGATCGAATTTTCTTTCCTCTCTCACTATCTCTAAAAAAGGGCCTAACAACTTGGGGTTTCTTAATTATCTTTGAAACCATGAAAAGCTCAATGCTTTTTAGTCAAACTAAGGCTTTTTACTGCTTCCATCAAAGAAAGGGAAGGGAATTATTATGAGTCGAATGAGAGAACCCTATAGAAACTTTTCAACGCGACAGGTATTTTTCTTATTTCGTTTCTACTCCTAATATTGACGTGATTTCTTGAATAATCATAAGTAAAATGTCACCAAATTAATTGTCATAATAAGTCATGTTCATATTGGCTATACTCTGGAAATAAAGTCATTTGAATTACAATATTTTTTTTTAACTTTTCAATTGGTTGCTGAAATATGCCATTGCTTGGATGGCTTGCATCTTTCTTTAATTCAATTATCATGTGACGCCAAACGTGATTCGAGTTGTTTCTGGATACTGAGTTTTCAACCTTTTTTCTTGATATTTTGTGATATATATTAAATGGATATTGTGTTACATGGTTAATTTGAGACCGAATGGCTGTCGAGGTTTACGCTACGTACTCTCCTAACCATTGCTGAATAATGAGCTCGAGCTTTGAAGAATAACTCTCCTCATGACTTGTGTCTCTACATGCTCTGTCCATTTCAAGAAGACATGGATATTTCGATCTGTGCAAAGCATGGTTAAATTGTCATTTTTCTTTAATCCATTTTATTTCTATTTTGCTTCAGGATTTCCTCTTATTTCTCTCTCTCTCTCTCTCTATTTTTTTTCGTGGCGTAAAGATGTTATCTTTTGTTTGGTTTATTGGCAAATGTGGATCTTTTGACGGTTTGTTTATGAAAGTTTGTCTTTTTACTAAATTTGAATCTGCAGTATCAATGGTGTTACTCTTCTGTTAAATTATCCAAAGGATAATATAAAGATTGCAAAATTAGAAAAACTTATTTTTTTAATTCAATTATCATGTGACGTCAAACGTGATTCGAGTTGTTTCATGGTAAATTTCTTTAATTCAATGAAGTAAAAAAACTTAAAAATAACGAAATTAGAAAAATAATACATTCCAACAAAATGTTTTTATGTGGATTAAATTAACAGTTAATTGCGAATAAACCCTTTGTAATATCACCCAATTGCGAATAGACCATTATAGTTATATTTTTTATTAGACCCCTTGTGGTATTGGCCCAGGTACGAATGCACCCTCTTAGTATCACCCTCTGCCCCCGAGAGAAGAGAGGGGATTCTTCAGCTTCTCCCTACATAGAAACAAAGATCGCAAGTAGGTATTCGCTTGAATTTTATATACTCCTCATTCCCACCTGCCTCTTCCTCTCTCATAAAGGAGCAAAACCCATCAATTTCTCCTTGAAAGTGGCCCACCCTTTAATTTGCAAATGTATTCGTCTTTCTCCTTTCGTCCCAGGACCCAATCCAAGAGAAGCCCATTTGGTAGAATTCTGGCTTATGGGTCATCGGAATCTGGAAGGAGACAGCTTGAGGTATGTCCTCTGAATTCAGTTTATTTCGAAGTAGTCAATATATGACAGCACTCACAAGAACATGCTTCATAGGGAACTACTAGATCAAGAGACATGTTTATCTTACATTGCTCGTGTCAAAGCACTTTGACAGGCATAAATGTCCTATAAGTTCCTAATATGTTCATTGAATTTATTTTAGAGTGGCCACAAATATGTATATATGTCCACTGAGAGTCATCTACAGAAATAACAATGTCATCGAGTATCTTTTTTAGGGAATATGTAACGTACCTTATGTCCCATTTTTAGCAGTAGATCATGAATCGTTGACATAAATTATTAAATGTGAAACTATCAAATGAAATATATACTAGAAAATGAATGAGAAGCAGGCTCCGTGTTTATTGAGGGGGTGTTATTCACACAAGTTATTTTGCTCATACGACCATGTCGATGATTGACATTGTTAATAATAGAAATAAAAAATGACACAAGGAGTAAGAAAATTTGATAACATGTTCAGTATTTGCAGAAAATATTTTAGAAACTCTAAAAATAGTAAAGCAACTCTAAAAATCATGAAATTTTCAATTTTTAGGGGTTTGTAAAAATCATGAAATTTACGTATCTGATTTTGTAAAATCAATTAAAAATAGTAAAGCAACTCTAAAAATCATGAAATTTTGTGGTATGTTTCTAGACATGTATATAAACATGTTAGAGAAATAATTTTTGAAATATCACTTCCCATTTGTGAGAAATAAATATTTTAAAATAGATATTCCAGATTCTAAAAACTGCTAAAATACTTGATTTTGTAAAATCAATTCAGTATAGTAAATCAACTCCAAAAATGATAAAATTTTAGAAAATGATTATAAATATGTAATAGAACATGTTACAAAAAAATTTTAAAATTACTTTTTCCCATTTGTTAAATATAAGTTATTTTGTAAACTATTTAAGAATACGAAAACATCAATACTTGATTTTGACAAAAACAATTTTAAACAAGTTTGCAAATCCTTTTAAATGGATTAATAGACTTAGGAAAATATATTAAATATTATAAACAAGTCTTTAATCCATAAACACATAATTTTTCAAATAAACGTTTTTAATCCATAAATAAAAAATTTCATTTATTTGCATGTATAGATATGAAACAAATACATGTATACATATAGTTATATCCATTTGTTTCATATATATATGGCTAAACAAAATTAATAAATATGAAATGTGTATAAACAAGTATATTTATTTTATATTTATATAAAGTTGAAACCTATAAAACCAAAATATGTATGTGTGTATATAATTGAGCTTAAAGTATCAACACACATATATTAAACCTAAACTATTTACCCAAGTAATGATCTTGATCTTCAATAAGCTCTTCTTGGTAAACTTGCGGATGAAGTTTGAACTTGGATCTTGAATTTGAATTGCATAAGCTTTAACCACTATTCCGTCAATCTCCATTGGATATGATCGCGAATGCTCGATTCCATCCATCCTCCAACATGTTGTTTGTCTACAATAAATAGATAAACACAAACACTAGATAAATAATATTAGTTATAAATTGTTTGTTAAACATCATCAAAATAAGAAGGCCAACACCTTCTTCAAATTTCTCTCTTACTTCTTTTGTGGTGTTAATCGTGGCTTGTTTGCCTATAGTGTAATTGTTTTGAACATATTATTATGGAGAATTCAGGAAATTCTAGTTTTTGGTCCAAATTTTGCAGATTCTGTGTCATAAGTTGACTCAGGCACAGGCATAAGTCGACTTATGGCATGAGTCGACTTATGGTAAGTCAACTTACGTTCAGTTCTAGAATTGTTGGTTTTAGCTTGGTCAAGTCAACTTATAGAGACTGTTAAGTCGACTTATGGTAAGTCGATGGTAAGTTGACTTACATTTTGTTCTCCAGTTATTAATTTTTTCTTTACCAAGTTGACTTATAGACCCTGTTAAGTCAACTTATAGCGGGTTTTTTGCACAGTTAGAGTCCCTATTTGGATTCTGTTTGGGTTTCTATTTTGTTATAAATAGTAACACGGTTTTGAGGGTTTGATGCGGACTCATTCATTCTTTGCTGGTTTGGAGGAGGAGGGGTTGTGATAATCATATTTTATTATAATTTTATACCATCATTATCTATTTTTAATGAATAAATATATCACTAATAAATCATATTTTATTATAATTTTATACCATCATTATCTATTTTTAATGAATAAATATATCACTAATAATTGTTTTTATCTTTAATTGCAGGTTAATGAATTTTAATGAATAAATATATCACTAATAATTGTTTTTATCTTTAATTGCAGGTTAATGAAGAATAAAGCCGAAAAATCTCATCTCTTAACAAAAACTCATGAATTAAGTGAAGAACACAAGCAAGAGCCAAAAATCTCAAGCCCAAAATCAAGCCGAGTAGCTTGTAGAAGCCGGAGAAAATAAAAAAAAATTAAATATGAAAACAAAATACATTCAAGATAGTTGACCGTAAAGAAACGACGATATCTCTTAATCCGAAAGGTAGAATTTAACATATAATATATAAAAATCGCCTATCTTGACGA